TTCTACCTGTCGATGTCCATCTCACCTGTTTCTTTGAGCCTCCTGCTGTCACTGATAAAAGTCTCAAACGTCGTTCTTCCCTACAAAGAAATTATCAATCATCATAAAAAAGTTACTATACTGTTTTGAATAAGTTTGAATGTCTTTTTCCAATGGTAATTTTTTGAACATTTCTTGCATGTTTGTTGCTCACAGGTTATAGACACAGTGTGCTTCAGTAAGGATCCATTGCAACTGGATGATCGCCCCACAGCATTCATAACCTGCACCCAAACTAATGCTCACGTGCCACGACAGTTTCCCATCATCCTCTGTTGTCCTTGGGGCTTCCAGTCCAGAGGTAGCAAAGATGTCAGGCATTCCATACGGAGCTGAGAATTCAGTGGAACATGTGCATGAATGCTTGAGGTAAAAACCAAATACACATTCACAATCTGTTCAGAGATAAACATATTCTCATTTGTGACTCAATATGTGTGTTGCCTTATTTTACACATTTTCTGACTCCAGCTGGATTCCACGCATTCTAAAGGCCCTCTGAGACAAGGAGTCTCTTTTAGAGCTCAACAAAAAAGTCGATGTGACTGTGGACAGCAGAAAGGACAAAAGCAAGCGTGTGTGCAGCACAAACCAGCCTGCAAATGTGGTGAGATAACTCTGCTGTCATCATCTGCTTCCTCCCCCTGATTTTCAAACGCCGTCTCGCTGAGATCTGTGATGACAAAATCATTTTTGTCATCATTTCACGCTTCAGAAGTCTTTGGTTACAAACTCAGTGGTGTCAAAGAAAAACTTAGTATGTTGGGTTCTGTATAAGCAGTATTCATTGTGTCTTTGTTGCAGAATGGGTTTTTATGTAAAATATAAAAAAATGATAATATATTTTTGTGGTGTCCAACTGTTAGGTACGACTTCTCTTCTAATTTAATATAAATATTTTAATTATAAATTATATTACTAACATAACAATCAAGGGAAAAGTTCAGTTTAAACATTTATATGAATTTGAGAAATTTTTGAAAAAATCTTGAATTTTATATTTTGTACACATGTACACATAATGTATAATATCATACATAACATAATATCAAATAACCTTTATTTTAAGTTTTTTTTTTAATTAAGTTTTATAAAGTAAAGTATATGGATAAATGCGCATAGACAGCAATGTGATTTTAACTTTACTGTTGACCTTTCAGAGGAAGTATAAATATTTTTAGGCTGGCTCGCGTGTTTATGCTGTGGCATACTATTTATACATGTGGGTCACATGTGGGTCAGGCTTGGTTGGGTGAAATGTGAACACCTCCTGTGAGCATTTTTCTTCACTCATGTTGACTCTCACCTTTTTCGCTGATAAAAGAAAAAGAGGCGTTGAAACCATGGGTGGAGATGGTGTTGTCTGTGCTAAACTGTAGAAGCATTATGCGACCGTAGCTGAGAACAGCTGGAGGGATGCTCGCGCCACATACAACCACTTAAAACACAAAAATTAAAAGAGCAGAACACTTGAAGACTACATTTCCCATAATGGTGCAGTGCAAAATCTTTAAAGGGATAGAAAAATACCCCATGAATTACTCACCCTCAAGCCTTCCTCATCCGCTGGAACGCCACTCTCTCGTGAACACATACAACAGTTAGCGAAAGCTAAAGATTACGGTTTATAAAGTTTTAAATATAGATATTTTTCTTACACAATCACATTGATTTACAACAGAAGGCCTTTATTAACCCCCTGGAGCCGTGTGGAGTACTTTTTATGATGGATGGACGCACTTTATTTTGCTAGAAAATCTCGACCACCGTTCACTGCCATTATAAAGCTTGGAAGAGCCAGGACATTTTTTAATACAACTCTGATTGTATTCGTCTGAAAGAAGAAAGTAATTTACAACTAGGGTGGTTTGAGTGTGAGTAAATTATGAGGTAATTTTCATTTTTGGGTGAACTATCCCTTTAAATGCTGTTCAAAGAATCCTGAAAATAAAATGTATCACGGTTTCCATAAAAATATTAAGCAGCAGAACTGTTTTCAAAATTGATAACAATAAGAAATATTTCTTACATTTTAAGTACTGTTTATCCAAATAGAAAACCGTTATTTCAGATTGTAATAATATTTCATATAAAAAATTTGTACTTTACCTATTTCATCCTTGCCATCAATGTCTCCAAACACTGTGAGTGAATCATATTTGCAGTTCTCTGACTCCTCAAGGTCAAAGTCGACAAAGTCCAGCTTTAAGGCACATAGCGAAGTTATTCTATTATAATCAGCGTGTTAGCATATAGCAAACAGAGTGATATGATTATGCACATAGCATAGCCAAGTTTGGTTTTCTGCCATAACTGTATCATTTAGTTAAAAAAAAATCTGAAAGGTTCTTAATTTGAAACCGTTTATATTGCACTTTGTAAACAGCAGGAAACAACCAGCGTTACATGACTGCAGTGACGTCATGGTGTCGCTCTTTGGAGTCTAATTGAGTATCACATTCTCTCTTGCAGTGAAACCGATCAGAGCTCCCAATCTCACTGCATGCATACATTCATGACCGGACAGACAGGTCACGACTGGACAGAGGAGACACCAGGCAATGACTGGGCCAACACAAGAGCTTAAGAGTTGTTTTTACCTTGACTATGTGGCCCTCTGGGGCATAGATGACCCAGCGGCAAAGAGTGTTGTTGCTGTAGGCTTGCGGGTAGGCGGGGCTCCACACAGCCCCCTTGGGCTGTAACAGCACCACTGTTCCACATTCAGCCCCTGCACAAACACAATAGGAGAAACTGGTGGAATGGAGCCCGGCCGATGACGTTACAGCACGGTGTCACATTTCTGTCTGGCAAGGGTCATACTGAGGGGAGCAGGGTGGTGATTTGAACCTAGCTCTTACCTTCTCCGAACTTACCACTGGTAGTTGGCCCCCTGGCAGACATGTAACTATGGAAACGGTCCCATTGAGATAAGCTCTCCGCTCTCTGAGGAGCCTATCGGCAGTAGTGCGAAAACAGAATTCTACTGGGGAAAAGTTAGTTTGCATCTCAACCTGACCGGGGAAATAAACACACCTTGCAGACCAAATGATGAAACCAACAGATCAGTTGGGCACAACCTGTGCTGCTAAGGAGAGCACAATTAGGGTGGAATGTGTTTTAATAACGGGACTGTATGGATACACAGACATGTAAATGAGGCAATGCTCGAAAACAACATCATCAGGCCTGTGTAAGCATGCTAATCAAGTGCACAGTAAGCAAGCATGCTGTTCCAACCATCCATGCAATGCATAATGGTCGGTACTATACAGCTGCACAACTCATTCTGCATTGTCATTGTACTGTCAACAAACAGGCTTGAATCTTCAGATTTCTGCAAGCATTATTGTGTCACTTTCAAGGAACTTTGTACTGTAGGCTTTTCAGAGTTGGGTGCACAACAACAAGAGAAACCAGTCGGACAGATTCAACTCACCAAAACTGTAGTCCTTGTCAACACCACTGAATTGGATGGCAAATCCTGCACCTGTGCTGCTTACGTCAGACATAAACTGCACTGTGATACTGTGGGAACCACCAATAAGAACCGGAGGTGGAGGTTGACCACCACAGAATCGACCTGTTGAACAAGGTCACAAGGCAACATAGAACCTCACAACCACTTACAGAAGGTAGAACAACAACAAAGTCATAGTTTCTCCCACCTATTTGCCTGTCTTCATCCACGTACACAGTCAGGTGATCGCTGTGGCACTGTGTATCATTCTCCAGGTCAAACTCCAGGAACTCCAGTAGAATATGTTCTCCAGCGGCAACTCGAATGGACCACAGACACATCCTATGGCAAAAATGTAATGATAAACTGCTGTGAAAGTTTCCAATGCTGCCTTTGGTTTGCAAATATCTAAGATACTTCAGATGTGACTCACTCATTGTTGTTGTAGCTTTGACCTGGGTGAGCTGGATTTTTGATGATGCCTTCACTTCCAGGTACAACTCCATCAGGTACACTGCACAGGGACCTGTCTGCACCTATGTTGAGTTCTATAGGCAAGTAGTCATTATTTAAATTGACTTGCAGTGTCTTACAGAAACTTGGGGTTAAGTGTCTCGCTTGCAGTTACTAAACCCGATTATTAACCACTACCGGTCCTACGAGATTGAAAGCAGGTAAGAAGCTCTAACTCGACAACAGTACCCACCTTTTCTAAGATTAGACTTGATCCATGACAGGAACATTAAGACATCAGTGAATACTGCAGGTGAGCCTCTTCTGGATGAGGGTTTGATCTTGTTATTATTCCAGCTTCGACCACAACCCTTTCCCCATGATGTGACTCCCACAGCCACCCAGCGTCCATCTGCTCTGGGGCAGAGGAGGGGACCCCCAGAATCCCCCTGGAGCACATGAGGACAGAGAGGAACTCAAAGCCATCTTTGCCAACCTGAACCAGTCTCATAGGTGTTAGTAATTTCCGGGATGTTAATAATGTAATTCAAAGTTCATGTTGGGGGAACATGTTTAGTGTCAACTTACTTGGCAGGCATCTCTCCCTCCACTGTCTGGGCCAGCACACAGGACTGTGAAGGTCTTCTGTCCAGGTCTAAGTGTTTGTAGGACATGTTTGCACTTGCTTTGCTCTAACAGGTTCAGTTGCACCTCCTGAAGAACCGAAGAAAGTGGCCCTTCTAAAGAAAAGACAGACCTCTTCACCTTTATCCTAGTAATGGTTTGAGAAATTTTAGATCTTTCTCTCAAGTATTAATTATTTCAGTGTTGTTCAAATGACTTCTCACTCTCAGTAATACGACCCCATCCACCAACAACACACATGGTCTTGGGTGGAAACCTCTCACCAGGGTAAGGCAGGCAAACAGGCTTAATAAAATCACCTAAAAAACACATATTATGTTTATCTCTAAAAATAATTCTAAAACTATAAATACATAAATTGTGGTAATCTCACAGAATGACTTGCCAAAGTGAATGCGTCCTTTGGTCTCAAGCAAAGCGATGTCGTAGCTCATGGGAGAGGAGCGTTGATATTTTTCATGGAACTTTACAGTCTTTACCTGGAAGTTCTGCTCCCCTCTATCAACTTTTCTTTGGTTGAAATCACCTGCTACAGCCTCAATTTTGTGCAGGAAGTCCCTAAGGCAGGCAGTTATATTTGAGAGAAAGTCACTGAAGCATTGACAGAGTCAAACGTTATGATTAGTCATGTTTAAATTGAGTGGACCTACTTGGATACACTTGCAAAGCAATGAGCAGCAGTCAAAAGCCAGTGGTCTGTCAAGATCGCTGCAGCACAGAAATGCGATCCTCTGATCCTTAGAGACACCTGTAGATAATAATAGAATGAATTTTTCATACTGACATATACTTCAATGCCTTTTGGAATGTAAAAACTGTAGTATTGCATTAGTTTATCATGCAATTTGTAAGGTTGAAGAGTTACGTGCCAACCACGGATGGGAACCTCGCCTGGCCTCTGATCCTCCAATAACCCTCAGAGAACGGTCAAGGATACCTCTTGCCTTAGTAGATCCACATTTTGCATCTGGGTATGGCAGGACAAAACTTTGTCATTAATCTGTGACTTGTTCCCGTACAAATGAATTAAACATTTTCTTACCACTAGCATTAACAGCAAAGGTCATTCCAAGACAACCCAAAAAGATGAGAAAACCAACAAAGGTCCTGTAGGATAATTCAGACATGATGTGTCCTCTGCCGTTAAAGACTAAGATCAGGGTATTTATAGAAGGGATGGAGGGGTGGTCTTTTTGACAAATGGGGTACTGTGGTTACTCGTTAACTTCACACAGGAAAAGGGCGTGTTGAACAGAAGATTGCATGGTAAGCATCTAGCGTGTTCTATAAATGAACTGTAAATTTGATACCTTTTCTATATGATAGTTTTTCAGTCTACTGACATTAAGGATCCAATTTGACAATAGAATACTTAAATATTTTGTGCATGCGTTTGTCTCATTTTTCTGTAGGTTACAAGGAGCATCAGCAGAAAAAAGATTTTACAGCCACTTGTGATTCAGCTGAAGGAGAAAAGCTCCTCCATTGACAATGATGTTTCCCTCAAGGACCAGAATGGCCTTTTAATCTAAAGGTTTATTGGAAGCTGTTGGATTTTTAGCACTCTCAGACTTTACGCCTAATATTGTGCACTCACATTCAATATGTAACAAATATACAATTAATAATGAAACAGAATGAAGATACTATAGGCCATTTACGAATTCATTTAAGTGGGAGTTTAAGTAGATTCTTTCTCTCATAATTCAAATATTTGAAGAGGATATACTCACCAATTCCAACCATTTCTGAAAGGAAATGACATTATTTGTTGTATTCTGTTTCATCTTTGCGTTTAATGTGTGTATTTTGCAGATTCCTATTGAACTTGCCATTCTCTACCAGTTAAACTAAAGTCTATTATCTAGTTTGATTTCACACATTTTAGACATTCGAAAGATTTGTGAATTCATGTACTAGATGCGTTTGAAAAAACAACCATGCCAATTCACTCTGCCTTGCCTGTGTCAGAGAATTTACACAAACCAGAGGTCTAGTAAACAGTAGGGGAGCTCTTCTTGATACAAAAGACAATTGTAGCTATGATGGTATGAAGCTCACCACTGGCGACACCAAACCAAACAAAGATGGGTATCCTGTCATAAATTCTCAACACATTTGTGCTTTTGTCTGCAGAGAACAAAAGCTGAAGGCTGAAGTAATTCTTCTTGCAAAAATAATCTTAGACAAATTGACTTTAACAAGTTCAGTCTATTCAACCAAGGCCACAAATCACCACAAACAGAAGCTGAGGGAGAGAGAAAGATATACATTCATATGCTGTTTGAATCAGTGGCGAGGCCAGAAATTTTCAAGTGAGTGGACCTGTGAAATAGGGTGGACCTCAGTGCCTTTGGCTTTTGGCTGAAAAAGGCCAAAAATATGAGCTGAAAATATATGCCTATAAATTGAAAATAAAAATATGACTTTACTTGAAAATGTGATGTTATATAACAGACATACTGGTCATATATCGTTGAAAAGGTCTCAACTAGCATAATTGTTTCAGGACATCAAACAATACTAAATATGTGTGAACAGTATTGGCTATACATGCGACTTTTGGCCTGCGTTTTGTTTTGTAGCTTCACCAAACATAGTAGTGTCAGACTCTGTTCCATGTTTTGTCTGTGTCTTGCTCCCCAGTTTTGTGTGTGTCCTGCTCCCCATGTGCCTTCCCATGCCCTTATTTGGTTAGTTTCCTGTTCCTACCCTGATTAGTGTTTCATTGCTCCCAGGTGTGTCTCGTCATCCCCTCCTCCTGTGTATTTAAAGTGCTCCCAGTCCCTAGTTCTCTGTCCGCTGTGAGCGTCTTCGTGTGAACGTCTTCCTGTGTTCGTCTCCCTTGGTTCATGCCAATAAAGTCCTGTCAACATATTCTCCAGTGTCTCCTTGTCCCTCGTGTGTGTGCAACGTGACAAGTAGATTGACAGCCCTTGCATTTACCATTTGCCATAGAATAGAAGCACACAACTGGAAGATCAACACTGATCCACTGGGGTCTTACTACTTATTCTTTACTAGGGGTTTGCGATATTGACAAATTATATCTCGGTATTTTCTGGTATGTTATCAACAACGATAATTAGAGTTTTTGTGCTGGTATCTTAAGGACTACCCTGGACAGCTGACTTCTACAGTTTTTGATATTCTGTGTGGTGGTCAGTTCACAGCAGCGATAGAAATTAATATTTTCCAATAAGCTTAAATTGCTTTTTACCTTTTTTATGGGCATTTTTTGCCTTTTTTTTTTTTTTCTAGAAAAGTGTGCATCACCTTTGAGTCAAATTTTTACATTTAATCAGTAAATTAGAATAAGACATTTTGGCTGTTACCAAGCACATTAAATCAGTATTGACAAAATTAATCTTTACAATGCAGAGGAAACACAGAAGCTGCATCTAAAGTGGCATTTAGATGTGTTTACACACTGTTTAATGCAGCTTTGAGGGACATGGAATAGGCTTTCACCTGCAGTTAAATATTAATATTAAATATTTTGATATTTTAAACAAAACGTTAAACTGGTGTTTGAAATTATTTAAAAAAGAAAAGGTACTTTAAATGTGAAATCAAAACTGCCAGTAGATGGCAGAAAGTCACTGTCAATAAGTCAGTCATTGCGATTGAACCGAATCATTTAAACTGTTGATTCATTCAGGAACGAAACACCGTCATGTTGCTCAGAGACGTAAAACAGTGCTGTGGCTGTGTTTGGAATTATTTTTGTTGGCGAAATAGAGCAAAAACAAGCAATATGCTGTCTAAAACATAAGTCTCTTAATTCACTTATTGTTTATTGAACTGTTGTAAAAATCAATATCACATTTGTAATCATGCTGATTTTGGGGGGAAAACCGCACTCTTCGTGGGATATTGATTAACTATATGAAATGATATAAATATATACATTTTCTGCCCCCATATCTTAAATTTGGTTATCATTCTTAATGCACTTTAATAGCCTGAATCATGCAGTGAAAGAGCGCGTACGCGCATTAACCTAGTTAACGTTACAGTAGACTAAATCATGTAATGTATGCGTGCACTCTGTAGATGTGTTTTAAGTTTTTGTGATATACTCGATAACGTAAAATCGCACATAGTTAAAACAACAATGATATTATCGCAGACGATATAAATAGGCCTATATTGGGTGGACCAGCCATCAATCTGAGTAGGCAGCACAACAGTTCTAGTAAAATATAATGTTCTTTTGTTCTGTTATATCCAACAGGAGTCCCTTGAGCCCTGTTGCCTGGAAACCATTGTAAACCACAGTACAGCAGTTAAGAGAAGCCAGAAAAACCTGAAATTCTTTGTTTTATGTGGATTCCCAGCATAGTTTTGGTTTTAACAACCTCTGTACCAGTATTTAACACAAAAAAATAGGGGGGGGGCGTCTAAAAGCTTAAAAAGAAATATAGGATACATTTTAGTGAAAGCCTGTAATAGAGTTACACTGGAAGCTGATTCATGTTGTGTTAAGTGACTTGAAAATGGTTCAGACTGACAAGAAAATTACAGGCTATATAATGGATAAATCAGGATTATTTTGCTCATATTTAGGGAAGTGCCATGCTGTTAGCAAATATCGAGAACCATCAGTTGCAGTCTGCAAATGTACACTGCCCCCATTTCATTCAGGTTATCCAGCATAGGTCACAAACTTTTAGCCATAGCCTACTTTTTTGTATCTATTCCTTATAACACATTTTAAGGACTGACATACGCCACTACCACATTGTTCTTAATGCTGTTGGATTTTACAGTAACATTTGAGAGGCACTATTGTCCCTTGAGGGATTATGGACAAAATCCTACTCTGAGGAAGAATCTAAGACCCGGGATGATTTTTAAATAGTCCACATACACTGTGATCTCTTTCCAGAACCCGTCAAACTCTCACTAGCGAATATACACTGAATATTTCAGATGCGATACCAATTCTTTTGACACTACATGGGATTATCACGAAGGAACGTAATTCCTCGCTCGTGGTGGGTTGTGACGTCGGTTCTCTCATGAAACGCATCATATTTGGCAACCCATCACAGTTCCTCTCCAGCGAAGCTAAGCTACAGCCCCACTGCGTTTCCCATCACTGCTGGATAGAGCACCTTAGGATATATACTAAACATCTCAGGTAAGCGCTCGAGTGCTTCAGTTATATTCTTTGTTGCCTCGTTATTCCTGATCTCAAAATCGAGTTTGCAGGTTTTTAGAGCGTGAATGCTAGCCGTTAGCACACTTTCGCATGCGGGGTTTTCAGCGCTGGTGTGCAGGAAATCCTCCCTGAAAGAAGCACAGCTGGAAAGTAATGCTAAGCTGCTTTTGCCAGTGCTTAAGGTAATTTAATGCACAAATGTGTCGAGAAATTTCTCTTTGTTCCTTTTTCATGTTGGTGACCATAAAGACAGATTCTTTTGCTTGAAGAACCCGTTGATATTAAATATATAGGGACGTCTGTTGAAACTTTTTTTATTGCAGTCTGTGTGCTTTATTATTACTGTACAGTTATGAAGTATGTATTTATTACACTTTATTGCCTTATTAATTGTGTGCTTTTATGTGATCATTGACAGTTTCACTAACGTAGACTAACCATGTTCCGTACACTTTTCGCTATTCGCCGCACGCCAGCGACCACTCCTCCGTTATTGAGAGACAAGCAAGTTTGTGTGATCATTCTCTGGGGGAATACCCATTCTACAGTCCACACTTTGATTGATGTCTTTAGGACCAATAGTTTTTGAGAAAAGTGGGGAAACATTCTTCGAAACATTTGGGATAATTGAAGTACACAAGTCAGCAAAAATATATAACACTGTTCTAGTGGTTTTTGGATATTTTAGTAAAAAAATCTTACATATTGTGCCTTTAAGTCATTTACTCAACCGATTTGTTAAAACATCAAGTCACTTATGACTGAAACAGACTCCAGAAAGACTGTCTAAGCATCTTTTTTTCTCCATCAGTCCTTTGTGAACGAAATTGACTCTCATGACTCAAATAACCTTTTCTCTACATTCAGTCATCAGGTCCCTTTTTTCACAAATGAGATTTGTCAATTTTGCTGAAAGCCCATAGCCGGCTTGAGTCGTTCGGACTCGAAACGCTGATTGACCGGTAAAGGCATATTCCTTAAAAAAGTCCAACCAATGCTCATTCATGTAGTCAAATGTCAAAATCTCCTGTACTCATTCTATAGGCTAATTCGTTTTTAAAGAGAGAAAACAGTCTTGCACTTCAAAACGGAGAGAGTTGAATGGAAAATATGAGTTCAAGACTTCAAGTAAACGAATGATTTCTTCACTTAAAAGGTTTGTTCTGATTCATAACTCCATACTACATTCAAGCTGACAAAAATGACACACAATTTCATTTTCTCATTTGTAAATGAAAATATGATAACTCTTTTGTTATAACACATGTTTAGAACCTTTATAATAGTAGTGTTTATTATCTAGGGCCTACTTTTCGAGTAGCCTATATTCAGTGTTTCCCACAGCCTTACACTCTATTTGTGGCGGCACTCCCCCGCCCCCATATATATATATATATATATATATATATATATATATATTCTACTAAATACTGAGCAAAGGGTCTGAATACTTAGGACCATGTGATATTTCAGTTTTTCTTTTTTAATAAATCTGCAAAAATGTCAACGATTCTGTGTTTTTCTGTCAATATGGGGTGCTGTGTGTACATTAATGAGGAAAAAAAATTAACTTAAATGATTTTAGCAAATGGCTGCAATATAACAAAGAGTGAAAAATTGAAGGGGGTCTGAATACTTTCCGTACCCACTGTATATATATATATATCATTCATATTTTTACTTTTTTTATAATTTAAAGAAGAAACCAATCCAATGTATATTTGACATTTGAGGCTTAATACTATAGAAAAGCACTAAAGGTTTTTCAGTTAGTGTTTTCAGCTTGTTTATTTTCATATAAAAATATGGCATGCAGTTGCATCAAACAATGGTATAAACATCATTCCATGTAAATTGTGATAATCTTAATTAATAATCGCAATTACAATTTCAAGGGAATAATCGACAATTATGATTTTTGTCATAATCGTGCAGCCCTACCTGCAGTGCTCATGTTTATTCAATGAAGTCAAAGCCTTTTGGAAAATCTATTTGAGGCGGTCAGTTTTGATATTGTGGCGGCCCGCCACAAATAAATCAATGTATGGGAAACCCTGAAAAAAACAGCATCAGGAATGAACACCAGTCTGACAGGGCTTATTTAATTTTTAACATTTTTGGTCTGTATCCCTGATTTTTCAACTTCTAAACAGTTAATTGCATATTTCTGCCATTTCATTTGGATGAACATCCCCACTGTTGTTGTTTTAATGAGGATCACAAGACGCAAAGGCAGTGCAGTCTTGTGACAACACCATTTTTTTCCTGTCACTGTATCTTTGATTGTATACTTTAGTACTGAGATCTGTCGGTGCAATATTTTTTACTATGCACACACAGGATATTCGATCACATTAGCCTTGAGTACTTTTATTTAAGTTCTTAATGGAAAGCTTTTAAGCTAAAGCACTCCTCTGACTATGGTCATGTTTACATACATCTTGTTTGTTACAGTAGTACAATTCAGTACACTCAGGTGCCCAAGTGCATGGCAACCTGCCCATTTGAACCATGAATTATTCAAACTGAGGATGTGGGATCTAGGATCAATTTGCTTCTCGTGTACATGAAAGGGACTTGATCATGTCAGATGGCCCCATATAGGATGGTTATATCTCCAATCGGTTCTTTCTTGGACAAGCGATCAGTTTTCAGGGGTTAGAAAATGCCAGCTTCTCTATAGGGACTGATTTCTTTTGCCCACAGTCCCAGTACTCCCGTTTTAGCTTTGCTCCCTGTAGTTGGACGCTGTTTAATGCCAGTGTCACTGCAGAGGCAGCTCTGGGTCCTTGGTCACAGAAGTGCTGAGTGGCTCTTGGAAAGAAATTGCACTGCACAAACGTCTCGCCTTCTGGAATAATCCACCTGACCCCTACAATTAAACTGGCATTCATTGGCTCTAGATTGGCTGCTTGCCCTTAAGGCAAGTGTGTCAAAATAACCCATGCACTTCACTGAATGTATTTATGAGATTTTTTGATACAGATTGTGCCCTGAAAGTCAGGAAACGGCCCAGAATTTGTTGCCATGCAGTGTGTGTGTGTGTGTGTGTGTGTGTGTATATACTCTGTCTGTGTTTGGGGTGCATGCAGCTGTGGAACTTGGCACCGGTGTTATGCAGCAAACAATGCGAGGCTGCAGCACCGAACAGAAAGAGGCTGCAAAAACAGCTCATCACCAGTGGGAACTTGTTATACTGAGTGGCCTGATAAGTTTACGGAAAGGATCATATGATGCGGCCGGGTGCATTAGGAAGAAAGTGGCAGGCTGAGATTGAAACATCATAGATTGAGTTGAATATGTGTAAGATGTGAAATTGAGCCCAGAAATTGTCAAATGCAGATTAGAATATATCCTGTATCTTTTTGATAATTTACATGCGTTTTTAGGCTTTGCAAATGCAAAGGTAAACATTTGGTTTTAAACATTTAGTTGTTAGTTGTAATTTTTATGTTTTTAAATGTTTTTTATGTTTTAATTTTGTCAACTAGGTGAAATTATTTTATGAGATTGTCAAAATTGCAAAAAAGCCGTACAATTTAATAATCTGTGTCATCATTTTCCAATGTTTGTTCAAGTGTGAATGAGTTTTGTCTTTGTGTATAATTATAATACCTGTATAACTTTCAATGATAGATAGTATTTTTTTAATATTTAAATTCGTGGAAACTTAATTTAAAAAATTTGTATATTGTAAATATTAATTAATAAATGTAAATCTTTGTATTTTAAAATCATCTGTATACAGTTATAAATTTAAATTCATACAATTTGTTGTAATTTTATTTTTAAACTAAGATTTTTAGATTAAGATTATTTTCATGTTTTTGAAAGAAGTCTCTTATGTTTTTCCAAGACTGCATTTATTTGATCAAATTATAGTAAAAACATAAATATTAGAAGTATTATTGAATTTTAAAATAACTTTTTAGTGTAATTATTCCTGGGATGGCAAACCTGAATTTTCAGTAGTGTCTTCTGTGTCACAATCTTCCAGAAATCATTCTAATGTGCTGATTTGCTGCTCAAGAAACATTTCGTATTATTATCAATGTTAAAAACAGCTATGCCTAACAGCTATTTTTGTTCATTTTTTCAAGATTCTTCAATAGAAAGTTCCTGAATTTTCAGTAGTGTCTTCTGTGTCACAATCTTCCAGAAATCATTCTAATGTGCTGATTTGCTGCTCAAGAAACATTTCGTATTATTATCAATGTTAAAAACAGCTATGCCTCTACATATTTTTGTTCATTTTTTCAAGATTCTTCAATAGAAAGTTTAAAGGAACAGCATTTATATGAAAAATAACTCTTTTGTAACATTATAGGTGCCTTTACTGTCACTTTTGATTAATTTAATGCATCATGCTGAATTAAAGTATTAATTTCTTTATTTAAAAAATCTAGTAGATTTTTAGTAGGTCTTTATAAAAAAAATCTAGACTTCTTGTCTAAAGTAGGAAAAATCTTTATCTCATTTTATTACGTATTAACCCAGTATCCGCTGTGGATGAGCTGTATTGACTTGTTATCAGTGGACAAGAGATAAGAATAATAAACCTGTTTATACTGTTTTGATTTTGCTATGCCTTTTAATTTGTCCTATCAATTAGTGATATGTAAAGCTTTTTGCGGTCGATGCAACTTAATGCCGTTTAGGAGCACTTTTATTGACCCAGCAAGTCAAAATCCAGCTGCGGTCCAGGAGAGTAATACAACACCAGCTCTTAAGTGGGCACTACACATTTTTACAAAGTTAAGATTTGATTGTCATGCAGCAATTGTGGACTGAGGTCTTGGCAGGAAAGGAAGGAAGTGACCTGCATGAAATATTTACAGCATACTGACAAAACAGCATGATATCTGAAGCAAAGAGTGAGAGCCATTGTGAAATGTGTGTGTGTTTGCAGTGTGATACTGTGTGACAATGTTTCTGTTGGTGTTCCTCAGGGCTGTAACAGAGGAGGGAAGGTGCACTCAGGATGGTCACCATTCCAGAGTACTACGAGGGAAAAAATGTTCTCATCACAGGGGCCACAGGCTTTATGGGGAAAGTACTTCTGGAGAAGCTGCTACGCTCTTGTCCCGGTGTCAAAGCTGCCTATGTGCTTGTCCGGCCCAAAGCAGGACAGGCCCCCGAAGCCCGTATTGCTGACATGATCAACTGCAAGGTGAGCAAGTGCAGGTCTGGAGGATTGCTGGAAAACTTCATGGTTTGTTCTCTCAATTCTCAATTGAGTTATTTACCTCATGGCATAAATTAAGGGTAAGGCAAGGCGATATGGCTTTAAAAAAATGTACAGTATATTTTTCAGCCTTTTAACATTTTTTTGTTTGTTTCCCAAATCAATAGAAGAATCATTTTAACCAGACAGTCAGTGTAAGTCAGCCAATTGGAGTCAAAATGTTTAATGAAAGAAATCCTTTTTTTTTACTAAAAATATTTTAGTGAGTTAGTATTATTTATATTTTCTTAGTATTTATTCATATTTTTGAATTTACTATATTTTCTTTTCGTTTTAGTTTCAGTAAAATGTAGTTTTCAATAGAACTACTTTTTTCAATAGTATTAGTTGTTTTTACTATTTGTTGCTGTTTAACTTTAATTTTCTTTTAATTTCAGTTTTAGTCTTAGTAATGTTAATACATCAACTGTTTAGTACTTCAACTTTTCAGTTAGTTGCCAAAGCAATGTGTGTGTGTGTATTAGGGATGTGCGGGACTAGTCGACTAAACGGTACAGCTCCTAGGATATAGATTTATCGGCCAACATATCGGTTATCGGCTTTCAAAAATAAAGAATAATCGGTTATCGGTATCGGCCAAAATTTTCATATCGGTGCATCCCTACTGAAAACACTAGTCGATTACACGACAGAAAAAACCCCCCGGGTTTTATCATTTTAAATAACAAGTTAAAATAAAACGTTTGAAAAATAATACATAATTTTTTTAAGTTTATCTGTGCGGAAACTACATTTTTACCTCAGACCTCACATGCGTTTTCTTCGTGTCAGTTGCGGCGAGTTCAAAAATGACCAAGTTTTTTTTAGGTTGGTCTAAAATTAGTTTTTAGGTACAGAAATTGAATAAAGTAATGAAATGTAAAACATCATTGCATATTTGACTGTATAAATTAAAGATTAATATTTATTAAAGATACAAAAGCTATTCAATCAATAGCAGTGAGTGATTTATTTGTTGTTGATGTTCGATTAATATTAAGAAAGTGCTGTCACTTTAAGAGAATTTTCCCCCTGACGCATTTATTGTAATTACTTTTGCCGATGCTTTGGCAAGCTTAAGCCTATTGTGTGCATTTTAACGCAGAACTCTTCAAATGCTTGCCATCAAAAACTGACGGCAAGCATGCTGCGACTGCTGGACACTAAACACCGTCGAGCCGCTCTTGACAGTCACGGCAGCACGGTTTCGGGTTGTTTCCACCAGCGCGGCAAAAAAAAATAATTTTCATCACTAATTGATGGATGTCTAAAATATTAAAATAAGGAGAAGCCTAAAACAAGACCGATGCCCGGCCCGCGTCTGAACTATGATGTGAAAGAGAGAGAGAGAGAGAGAGAGAGAGAGAGAGAGAGAGAGAGAGAGAGAGAGAGAGAGAGAGAGAGAGAGAGAGAGAGAGAGAGAGAGAGAGAGAGAGAGAGAGAGAGAGAGAGAGAGAGAGAGAGAGAGAGAGAGAGAGAGAGAGAGAGAGAGAGAGAGAGAGAGAGAGAGAGAGAGAGAGAGAGAGAGAGAGAGAGAGAGAGAGAGAGAGAGAGAGAGAGAGAGAGAGAGAGAGAGAGAGAGAGAGAGAGAGAGAGAGAGAGAGAGAGAGAGAGAGAGAGAGAGAGAGAGAGAGAGAGAGAGAGCGAGAGAGACCAGCTTCATCACTGTGTCTGTCACGCGACTCTGTTCCCCTTTCGGGCTCTGACGAGTGCTTGCGGTGTTCGGCCAATCACAATGCACTGGGTCAGCTGGCCAATCAGAGCAGACTGCGCTTGTCAGAAGGAGGGACTTTGTAGAAAACGAAGCGTTTGAGAGAGGCGGGGCATAGAGGACCTACAATAATGTACAGTATTTGAAAAATTATGTGTTTTTTGAACATTAAAGCATGTCAACCTATTCTGTTACACCAAATACACAAAATAATGATCTTTAAAAAAGCATCATATGACCCCTTTAAGACTTGTTATGGGATTTATGATTAGGCCACAGATGCACTATTCAGATCACGTGTTATATTTGCAGTGACTTTCAAGATGCTTTGAATGCTCCAGATTGCGCTGATAGATCTTCTCTCCCTATATTTGCTCTTTACACAATTATGTTGTATGCACATTTCTGGCCTTTTCTAGGTTATATTGATAGCATTGTCTCATAGGCTGTGCGTGACGGGAATTCATATGCGTTTACTGTAGTGCTTGGCCAGACTGTGATATCTGATTATGGTGAAAGTAATCTTGAGTCTTTGAATGTTGCAGCTTTTCGACAGACTGCGAGAGGAGCAGCCTGATTTCGCAGAGAAGATCGTGGCGGTCAACAGCGACCTAACACAGCCAGATCTGGACCTGAGCACAGAAGACCAGGAGACTCTCACGGGCTGCATTAACATAGTGTTTCACTGCGCTGCCACTATCCGCTTCAACGAGCCTCTGAAGTAAGCTGTAATCTCCACCCACAGGATGACACAAAGCTTTATCCACAGCTAGGAGTTTAGATGCTTCTGATTATTTAGGTGGTTATATCACAGGAAGCAACTGGGTTCCTTATAACACGTCGCTTGAGGCATTTCTTCATTTCATACTTCAACATATTCAATCCATTTCATAAGGGCTGTTGAGATAAAGACAATTAACTCATAATTCCAATTAGCAATCTGTCATGTAGCTTTAAATCATGTATTCACAAATCACAATAAACCTGGATAATACAATAAAATGCATGGTTTTATTACATTTATTTAATAGCCTTAATAAAAATAATAATTATTTTAGTAATGGTACAATTATTATTAATAATTCAAATGCTGCTAATAATCAATTTTTCACTCACAATTTTTTTTCCACGAATACAAGTCATATTCACAAATATACAAATCATTGTATTATTATTATTATTATTATTATTATTATTATTATTATTATGATTATTAATAGTAGTAGTGGTTCTAATAGTTATAATAATACTGTCACTATTGTTTTTATTACTGCTATTATAATAACTATTATTGGAAATGCTAATAATACAATTATTAATGATGCAATAAATGTATTACTATTTGTATTAGTAATAATAATAATGCAATGATGTTTTAGCTAATAATAAAAATGTATTATTATTAATATTAGAAATTGTAAGTATTAATACTGTCATTATTTTTGTTTTATTTCACTTCTTTATTTTTATTATTACTATTATAATTTATTATAATTTTACTGCAAATAATACATGATAAAATAAATGTATTAGTATTTCCATTAACAATAATAATAATAATTCTATTATTAAAGTGCAATAAAATTATAACTTTATTAATAGTAGTAGTAGTAATGGCAATTAAAGTACTGTCATTATTATTGTTTTAATTTTAAATACTATATTATTATAATGCTAATAATAGATTTATTGTATCATTAATTATAAAATATTTTTATTTCTAATATTCTTATTATTGTTATTATTAATAGTAGTATAAGAAATAATACTACTGCAATTATAGGTTTTTTAAAATAATATATTATTAAAATATTTTGCATTCGTAGTATATTTCTGCCCAAATTCTTCTGTCACTGCTGCAATTTATCAGATCAGACCTGTAATGTCCAATTAATGAATCTGGAGCACTATGCGTTCAAAATGCATGCTAAAGCCTTGTTTATGCTTTAAAGTGAGTGTGGAATGAAGCACCGCAGGCTGTGCATGCACAAACACTTCAGAGGTGTTCACGCATTCTTCACCTGACTTCATTTTTCTTTCATAGCGCTCACGTAATGCACCGCTGCACCAGAGAGACATAAATGTGCATTTTATGTCATTTACGTTATTTCCTTAACTTTCCTTATCCTATTCTGATGTCGGTAAGTTGAAAGGTTGAAACTACACTAACAGCAGGTTATCGTGATTAGATCAATTTTTTTTCGGTTAGGTGGTTTTGTACAAATTGCAGTAGGTCTATCTTCAAGTTAATCAGATCTGCTCATGCTTCTGCAGAGTCACTGCAGTTCAAAGTTTTTTTTTCTGTCCCTCTGCTGCAGAGATGCCATGCAGTTGAATGTGCTGGCCACACAGAAGATGGTTAACCTGGCTCACAGAATGAAGCATTTGGAGGTGTTTATCCACGTGTCCACAGCCTACGCCCACTGTGACCGAGAGCTCATTGAAGAGGTGGTCTATCCACCACCTGTCGATTACAGGAAGCTCATAGACACACTTGAGTAAGTCTTGGCTCTCCAAATCACTCTTCTTGTCTTTGATGCTTCAGTCCCAGGGCTCTACGCTTACTTTTCTTTTTAGGAGCACTTGTGATCTTCTTTATGCACCAAGAGCTTGTAACACTCCAAAGAGAAAGGAAAACTTGAAATCGCATCATATGACCCCTTTAAACTATTTTTGACAACGAAATAGAGCAAAATCAGACAATAGTGTTATAGTCAGACAATGTAAGTCACTTAATATTAACTTCTTGTTTATTGAATTGTATTGTATTAAATCAGTATCACATTTACAAACTCCTTTAAAAATCATTAAAAGCTGTCACTCACCTTAGTTCATCTCGATCTCACATTTATAATCAATGAAGCTCGCTACACTGCGCAATGAATCTCTTATTTACACCCTGTCTACCCTTTGCTTATGAAAGGATTCGTGAGATATGTCTGTGATACATTACTCAACACTGCAAAAACACATAGAAACCTTTGAAGCTCCCCTGAGCGTAATCACAAGTATGATGAAGATCGGGTCAGTCGCACTGGTGCTCCTAAAAAAATTTTCATAGTCACACGCTGTAGTTTTCAGTCGCAAATGCTATAATGTCATTATTTAGTTTTCATGACCATTTTCCACACTCTGTTATTTAAGTATCATGTATAATATTGTTAATATTTTGATTCAAATGGCTGCAATATAACAAAGAGTGAAAAATTGAAGGGGGTCTGAATACTTTCCGTACCCACTGTATATTGCTCACTTGTATACTTACATTATCCCAAATGTTTTGAAGAATGTTCCAGATAAATCCAGAGAAATAGCAATTTTAAATAGTGGCTTGTCCCTGGTCATTGCGTCGCCTGCCAATGACGTCATAACCCCTCGATTTCCGGTTTTGTTTTGTAGAAAACATGGAAACACCAAAAACGCTTTAATATGTTATGTGTTTTATTACACAGGTGACGACCGCACAGAGTAGCATTATAACAAAACTTTCAAACGTATCTAGTATGATAAAACAGCGCTGTTTTACCCCACATACGCAAGGATAGGATACGGATATGCATACGGAAGGAGCAGAAGCGGTCGACTGTGGCATAATAAAAGCTCCACTGCTTTCCAGCCGTGTGTCACACTCGTTCAGCGGTCTCGTTTCGCTTCGACTGCTTTCAGCCTCACCCTGCTTCATTCTACTACGTTAATAAATCTAATAAATTTAATACATTAGCTCATCCATGAACATGATTTCTGCCCGAGTCCCGTCGGATTGCATCGTCTGTCGGGATGACGACGACAACTCCCATGATTCCACACTCAGTCACGGCGTCATCAAACTATGCCTTTTCTTTGTTTGTTTTGAATACGCACCCTCTAGCGGTGAAAACTTACATATTGTGCCTTTAAAACATACTGAACGTACATACTTACAAACAAACATATCTAACTACAAAACAGCTCAGAAATAAGAAAATAACACAATGAATATTGAAGCTATTCCAAGCAGGATTAACTAAATGAAACCCTCTTTTTTTTATTTTATTTTTTTGCTCTTCCTCAACTTCCTGGATTTGTGCGACGCTTACAGGTGGATGGACGACAAACTGGTCTCTTTAATGACACCAAAGCTGTTAGGTGAGCGGCCTAACACATACACGTACACTAAAGCCTTGGCAGAACAGCTCATCCAGCAGGAGTGTGGAAACCTCAACGTCGCTATCATCAGGCCCTCGATAGTGGGAGCCAGCTGGAAGGAGCCGTTCCCCGTAAGCATTTTCATTTCCATCCTCCCACCTAATTAAAAAATACTGCCTTGATTTTGAACACCGCTCTTTCTTTTCCACTCTGTTAAAGGGCTGGATTGATAATTTCAACGGGCCGAGTGGGATATTCATCGCTGTGAGTGGCCACTTTGATTTTTTTTGAGTAGATTTAAATGCATTGGCATTTCACGTTGTATGATTGTTTATTGGTACTTCATGTTAAAAGCTTTTTTTTTTTTTTTTGG